GTTGCCAACAATTAGCAAATGCACGGACAATTCCAAATACATCAGGACAAAACTCTCCTTCTACGGAATTTTGCAGTTGCGGACAATGCAGCTAAAATCTGCCAGCCTATTCAGCCAATTAAGCGAAAAACAGAATGATGAATAAAAAGCAAATAGTAGAAGTGCATTCGCCCCAGCATCTATATCTCCTGTTATCTTGGGTGATGGATTGGTGTACCATTTAAACTGAGACAATAGGTTATTGCTGTCGCACAGAGAGGCTCCCTCAATTCGCAATCGCGGTTTGTTTTTTTAATTGCCCAAAAAGCTTATTATGAGTTACTGGTTAGCGAAGAAAGCGGTCAAATTGCAGCCTAGAAATAGTGAACTCTGCCGCATTTGTGCAAACAAACGGTTCATACGGTACGAGCGATGGGCCTAAACGTGACCAAACCGAGTAAAATGAGTGTGCAAGTCGTCAAAGGCCACTTTGAGGAAAAGGCCCTCCGCAAACTCCTGGTACAGTAACTAACTACGAAGATAGGCACCCTTGGCATTTTTACCCAGCGTAATGTCCATTTTTTTTCACCATGTCAAACTACTGAAGTGACAAATCAAAATAACCGGAATCTCAGTTTGTTCACTCTGGAGACCTGTAAACTGAATCAATTTACAATTACGTTGGGTATAACATAATTATCTTCTGATTGTAGGCTTGGCCCTACATTCAAAAGAAGTCAAAAATCTTGATTTTTTTTCTTGAAGAAGAGTTCTACAAAATCGATTTTGCATGAAAATGAACTATAAAAAATGTAATGTCTCCCTTGAGAAGTAAATGTCCCAGAATTGCTTCCATGCAGACGGTGCCCAATTAGGACAATGTCCCCGCTAGGATCAGTTATCACACGAGGCCCGGCAAGTCAATGATGAGTATGTCTAGAACCTTGCTCAGGCATAATCGAGATCGATTCATTGAAAATAAAATGCACCCTTGACAGCATGCTGCCATTTTATCAACTGGGAATAGGAAAAAAACCATTACCAAACGCTCCTTGTAATGCAGTGCCGACGCAGTGCTTTCTGTAGAATCGATTTTTGTTCCTCTACTCTGGGATTTACATTTACTGGAATCGATAAGAGAGACAGAGGTTGGCAAGTTTTTCGCGCCTCGTTAGGAATTGAGGGAGGCAGTAGTCTATTAATGATGAAGGGTACGGGACGGGATGGTACTGACGCTGAGGTGTGCTTCGTGTGAAATCCGACGGCAAAAGAATTAGGGAAGTAGTGCTGTTGAGTTCTCCATACGAGGGTTTCTTTTGAGTTTCAAGTTGATTTTTGGAGCCTCCAGTTGATTGTTTCGAGTTTTGAGGTTAACTTTGTTGGAGTTGAAAGTTGATTCTTTGAGTTTCAAGTTGAATTTTCGAGTCTCAAGTGTCGAGTGGACTTGTTGAGTTTGCAGAATGTAGTCAAAAAGATGTACTGAACCCCGTGGTAAAGTATGGGCAATATGTCACACTGAGATTTCAAGTTTGTTTTTAAATTGCCTCTTCGGGCACTTGGGCACACACTCGGCGCAATTTCAACTCGCCTTAAAGTGAAGTTTTAGTCATGTTTAATATCCCTTCTCGATTCAAAATGTAAGATAGTGATTTCTTTTAAACATTACACAATTCGCCCACTTTTCGTGACAAATGTGGGCACCGTTTCTGTGTGAAGGTGAAAACTGTTCATTGAAATAAGACGTTTGTTACTTCGCAAGCTCTACAAAATCCATCGTGCCTACACCGGCCGACTTGAAAAATGCCAGATGAAGACTATACACGTCATAGATTAAATCGCTCACCCATCCCAAACGAACTCCTTCTCCAGGCCAACTTGCCTTTCTTACAATCATTACAGGGGATAGGGCGGTGACACCATCTGATCACCCGCACACCTCTTACCGTCCTGGCGCTCACGTTCACCCGTCGATGAACGAGCCTGGGATCGCTGTGGACAGGGTCAAAAACGCTTCTAGACATTGATTTAACGACGAGGGAATGTCAAAGAGTGTTTCAAAGCTGCACGTGGCATTCACTTGTGTATTCTCTAGATGGGCTATGCCGTGCAAGGAAAATTCTCGCTGGTTTCAGACTTGTTCAAGTTGTTCAGTTTTGGACTTTTTGTGCCTCTGTATTGTTCCCTGTTTTGTTCAAAAAAGTAAATACTGTTTTAAAACCAATCGAGAATTTCAACTTGTAGGCCTACAAATCCAGGCAAACGGTTTCAATAGCACTGGAGTGTCGACTCAAACCTTTCAAACCAAACTTTCCAGGCGGCACTCGAGTGCATAGGGTTTAGAGAGGCTTTCTTCGCTACGTTTACAAAGATTAAAATTCGGCCGCAGACCTCTGAACACAAACGGCCAAAACTCTGCAAACTATCAATTTTTAATACGGGTGATTCACAATACAGTGCGCCACCAAGATTTTGCCGCAGACAGGCCACTTTTCAAGTTTACGGTCGGCACACTGCCGCGATTCAGCGCACTTTGTAAGTAATGCACCACACAAAACCATCTATTTCGCCTGTATTGGAGTTAAACTCTTCATTCAGCATTATTTTTACGCTGTAGTCGATGACAAGAAAATAATATCAATCCGTAACGATAATGGTTGTAAATCTTCAGTGATAAACGTGGGCAAATTTCTGTTTGTTCTGATACGGAAGTCCCACACTGCGGCAGAATTTTTTTCTGCAAATAAAACCAAAGGTACAAAAACAGCACCACTTCGGCCGTTGCAAACTTTTCTAGTCAGCTTCCAAGCTATATTTTTCAACATTGGACAACGCGTGATCACTCACTGTAACACTCATTCGACGCGACGCCGAAGAATAACTCCAGTACGCCCGCCGCTCGGCGAGATATTGCTCCTCCGGCGGAAAAAACACCCAAGGGGGAATTCCCACCCAATTTGATCGAGACACCCTGACCGTCACTAATGCTGACACAGGTAATTTGCAGCCGCTGCTAAACCGACCGGCTACGTTTCAGCTTTAATAACCGTCGTGAACCAGCGGAAAACCTATGTCGTGCGAGCTAGCGTAAGCGCTGCCACTGCGCAGAGAAATTGCTGGCAAATTTCTGCGCTGTGTAAATGGGAAATATTTCGCAGAGGAAGAATACGTGAGCTTGACACACAGCAAATGAAATTGCTTATTGAAAGCAGAGAAACAACTTATACAGAATAACGGTAACAAAAACAGACCAGGGGCATATTTGGCCTTGGTATGGAAACATTGCTTCACAGCAGCAAGCTGTACACAGAAATGCATCAGTGAACGTTCTGCCAATGACCGGACCAACCACGGAAAAAGTTACAATGTACGGGAAACCGCGTCCGAGGACGAACTGATCCTTCGATTATTTTTACTCCGGGTCTGCCAAGCGAGTTGAAGCGAGTAGGGCACAGCGTAAATTAAAACCCGAAAATAAGCCAACACAATATGGTTTGAGTAAAGTTTGTTTTTGCAGCCCGCAAAACAAGGCACTTAAAAGAGAAATTATAATACACCAGTAACATCTGGGCGACCCTCCAAGCAATTTGGCATCATTGCCAGGCTTAATATCCCACGAGGCAGAGCGGAACTTTTGTAGTCTGCGGCCCAAGAAAAACTCTGCAGCGTTGAACAAATAAACGTCTGTGGGGTTAACTGCGACATAGACATCCCAGCCGAGCGGCGAGAAACGTCTGGCAAAAAAATGCTTTTGGCGGCAAAATGCCAATTGCGGGAGAGAGAGAATTTATGGACGGGCTGCCGAGTACATTTGCGTCATTGTCGGGACGTGGTTCTGATTGACGTGTTGACGAACTGTTGAAGAAGCTCCATTTTTTTCCCTCCTCTGATTCGCAAAAGCACATTTTGTGCAACTCGTGCGAAGGGAAGAAATGAAAATGCTTTCCCCATAACTCGGCTTCCCTCCTTTTCCATTTGGGCTTCATATCGAGATTTGTTGGAACCAAATAAACGTAGTTACTCCAAAAAGTTTGTTTGGAATCGCGTCTGTTTCGAAGCCTGGTTTCAATACCGACGTAATGAACGCAGAAAGCAACGCAATCAAGACACAAACTGCAAAGCAGACATATGGAAACATGTCAAAAGGAGGTGTCGCCGACAACGCAGACACACGCAAACCAGCCTGCGATCGATCGGTAAAGTTGAGCCAGGTTCAACTTTGCCGACTGTCTGGGTCGAGTAGCCGTGGTATCGATACAAACACTGAAGCACACATGTTGGCGTGACTGGCGTGCATCGATGTCCCTCTCACTTAGTTCCACTAATTTTGCCTATTTTCTCCTGAATGCTTATATTTTACAGCCAAATGATCAACTAAATGTCGCTGACCATCACTGAAATGCATGGAACTGGAGTACAGGTTTGGCATTATGAGGCGGTACAGTCAATCAGTCACGGAGTTTCGGACGTCATTTTGTTTCATTTTTGGGGTGAAATGACGTCACGCACCGTCTCTTCGTGTATGTGTCGTCACGTTCTGCGGACCGTCTGCCATACAAACGACCATATGGAAACGAGGCTAGTGTCTCTGCAGCAGACGAAATGAAACTGCTTGAAGTGAAAAGTTCCAACACAAAACTAAATTCATATGGCAATGCCCCTGAAGCCAGCGTTGAAAACGCAGTCGCGGGGGGGGGAGTCCTGTTGCCTTGCGTATACAAACGGGCCGTATGAAGTAGGTCAGTGACTACTACCGATACCAGACTGGAAATGGCGCGTATCGGATCCAGTTCTATGGTCTCAATCTTTGCGAATTCAGAGGAAACCATTTTTTAAACCGCAAGTTCGGAATAATTAGTCGCCGACAGATATTACAGGAAAACACTGACAAAACGTTCACAAGCCATCAACGTTTCCCACCAGCGTTGGTTATGAAATGGCACCTATCCTTGTTTTACCATCTACGAGAACAAAACAACAAGGCGCTGGGCACCGAAAACGTAACAGAGTATACAAGTACTTACAGAGTAGGAAGACAACGAGGAGAAGACCAGTTAGTCTCATGGTGACATAGTTGATGACTGCCAAGGCCAGAGGCGGTTTAGACCATGTGACGTCCAGGAAGCATCAGCTAGACCTTATGGGTGGAAGAAGTACTAATTTGGATTAGGCCTAACTGGCATGAACAAACAGTGAAATCCTGTGCAGAAACTGGCAACCAAATACAATGGAACATGTGAGGTAAACAGTAGGGTTAAAGGTTCGAGCGACGACATCCTGTCAATTCAGTAGTGGTCAATTTTGCTTGGTACCCAGGGTACATTTTTTGCACAGGTTACCAGGGAAAATCTACTGGAGGTGGACATAATGGTCATTGCTCGAACTTGCCATAGGGCCCATGGCATTAAAATGGCGCCAAACACAATGAAGGAAAGATGTGGAAAAGGTATGGGGTTCTGCATGGCAGTCATTTTTCAGGTAAGAGCTTTTATTCCTCAGGGATACACGAGTAGACCTTTTATACTATCAATTTGTGAAAGCAGTTACCGGAAAGATGGCTGCCATGCAGAACCTACAGGTATAGTTTATATAGAAAAGAGCCCGGATATCTACCCCTTGTGCCAATATTTCCCAGAATCTCATCCATTAACGGATTTCAGGCGAGCTTTAGTGGGTGCGTGCATTACCTTTGGAGTTAGCTATAACATTAAAGAGAAATAACGCGTTAAGAGGTTCTGTGTGATTCGTGCCGAACTTGGTTTCTCCTTCGAGCCGACCAAAGCCTGTGAGTTACAAACGTCGATCGCCAGCTAAAGACGACACTTACTGAGTTGTGTGTAAAATACTAAGCCAGCATGCATCAGAGGTACTTGAAGGCAATGTTTAGGTATGATGCAAGAGAAGAAATTGTGTTCTTTAATCGCTGCTAGATGCTGAATTGCAGACGTCATATGAAAAACGTGGACTCGAAATGACAATTGGATGAAGCCACCAGCGGCAATTTTACCGTATACCGAATACAAAGGCAATGGCTCGCTTACAACTTTTGATGCCACGAATGGAATTTCATTTAAAATTAACAATGGCGAGCAAGCTTTTGTGTTACCTTAGTATGGCACAGCAAGATGACCTCCCGGTGGCTTACGGGAAGGGGTTACGGGTTAAGATCTTTTTGTGTACAGGCGTGTAATACAATAGTGTTAACCTCTGCACAAAAGAAGTCCAATGCAGGGCACTGTGGCGCTGTGTGGACTTGCACACGTCAACACAATGTTTTCCCTTCTCTGAAAAACAGTTTCAGAGGCATTTTGGGGTCAACGTTATCGGTGGAAAAATGAAGAGGAACAGTCCAGGAAATCATCCTCAAAAATCCAGCTCAGAGGAGTTATTCTATTTGGAGAAAAAGGAGCATTTACCTTTAACCACAGCAGGACAAAGGAATGTCCACACTTCGTATGTGAAAACAAGTGTGGGTGGGCCTGTTTGTTTCACACGGATGTGGATCGCGATCAGTGATCCCAGAGCAAGTTCGCAGTATCCATTAGGCGGGGTTTGGTGTGAGAGAACCAACGCCAGATCACGGATCGCGATCCAGATCCGCCTGAAACAAACGGGCCCTATTATGAAGTCCATGCACTGAATAGCGTCTGCCTATAGTGAACAGCAATAATGGAGGGAAGAGATTCAACGGAAGTGCAAAGGAGGCACTTCCGCTTAATGGGTAACAGATCGTTGAACCTTGGTGACATTAATACACCATTCCGTGTAATAGGCAAGTAGTGTATTCAATTTGTCGAATAGGGGTATACGGAAAAACTAAGAAGGTTGTTCCAGAAGGGTGGACTAAAATTGAATTTGTGCAAATATTTTTCATTGTATCAAAATGAGGACGGGAGGCAAGAGGTATCGGAAGAATATCGGTGCATAGTTATGAACTTCTTGAACTTTCCATTCCTTTTCTAAAACGAAAAAAGAAAGACGAAGACAGAAAAAAACCAATTGGCTGAGTGGGGTTTCTCTACATCCCCTGCTGGATATACGTGCCGACGTAGATCATGGACTATTATGCAGGAAATTTGCTACCGTACATGTACGTGCAGTCATGTCACCACCGAAAGCACATTTGAAATGTACTTGTCACTTTGTGTACAGAAAATATGGAAGTCTACGATAAGGGGATACTCGGCGTGCACAGCAGGAGATGTGTGTGCTTTCAATTTTGTGTACAGCGTGGTGACGGTGAAATTCGTTTCTTGCGAGGTCTTATGCCATTTATCATTATTATCAACAGAAGTCATAACAACCTTCCATAAATCTTTTTACGGAACATGGATAATGCAATTACATTAACAGGTGCATATGTTTGCCGCAGTATGGTTATTGCAGGGTGGTTTAACCATACATCTATGGTTTAACAGGACTGGTTTGGAATAGAAAGCGGTTCACTAAACCGTTTACATTAATAATGGTTTCGTTTTACCTTTGGCGATGGGTGTATACTATGAATAAGATTATCTTCACGAACCAATGAGACCAGTTCAAGAATCAATAACAGCAGTATAGAAGGGCCCACTTGCATAGACGAGCGGTTCCAGAAGTCTGCGCCGTATAGCGATCTTTCAAAGATACCGCGCTGAGACAGTGCTTCGCAGCCAATCAGTGGTCTCGTTAGGTATGACGTCACAGACTGACTGACACGGTTGAGTGCTCCGCCGTCGTGCCTTTGATTCCTCCTGTGAGGCACTAAATATGTTGCTGTGAAATGTGGGGCCTAATTGGAATTTCCTTGAGTGTAAACGCAAATTGTCGCCCAGTATGTCACTGTCAGTAAACGCCTTCTGTTACTGCGTTTGTTTAGAAAGGTGACGAGTCACAAAGGAATAGGAGATGGATACTAACATCATACAGTCCTCACCCTGAACAACATGAAAATTCCACAGCCTTTAACCTAGCCCCAACCCAATACAAACCCTTACTCGAACCTTAGCCCCATATTGTTGGCCGACCTCCATGGTAAAACCTAGAGTACCTTATACGAAAAGGATAGAGAAAATTCAAACCCAAGTCCTGCACATTTCCAACTCTCTATATAACAAGCCTAAACCCTAGCCTAGTATCTCCAGTCGGGAAAAAAAGAAATACACGTTCCTGACGAAGTTTTCCCTTTAAAAAGAAACTTGTCTGCAGAATAGGAGCAGCGGATTTGGCAGGGCTTTGCGGGAGCGTCGCTAAGTGGCTGTGGGTCATACCGAAAAAATCCCTACTTCCAAACAACCCCCAGGCACTGGTGACACATCGTAACCGTCAGCTCCTCATCAGACCAGAGAGGGGGAGGAGGAGATTGTACAGAGGGGGACGCGGCGCCGTCTTGCGTGGGAAGGGAGGAAATGAGGCAGACAAAGAGGAGAGTGCCCGATCAGCCTGGCCAGGCAAAGACACCGGGGGAAAACATAATCCGACGGGTGAAGTGAGCCGAAGAAACTTGTTTGTTTAATGGTCTGCGGAGAGAGTGCAAACGTAACAACTGTCGCAAATTATCAAGGTAGATTTCCTAAAGTGATTGTAGGAGCAGCTAGACACCCTTATATCTGGTAACATTTCGAGGGGTAGAATTCTTCTGTGAATTGGGGCGGGATATGGACATTCCGCCTTCCCGGTGTCAAATAAGACCAGCCATTTGGTTGACTAATGACCGTGTTAACTTCACATTACAGTCTACGTGACACGCCAAACCCACATCCAAACTTCTCAACGACTGATGCACGTTTGTTGATACCTAGCATAGACTATGCTAAAAAGGAAAAACTTGACCGAAACCAAATCAAACCGAACTAAACCAAACTAAACCAAACAAAAAACACGACGAGGGCACTGAGCTGGAGTGTACAATCCATATTCATGGCAACGAAAAGCTCAATTTCGTAACATCAACCTATAGCCTATATTATAAACACCACCCTTTTAAAGAAAATCAATGCATGCTCAATCCACTGAAACAAACAGCGCGCTCCATTTCTTCCGATGAGTTTAGACAAACATATACACTAGTAAACTAACTATCTATACTAGAGGTGTCCAAATGGGTTCAAAGGTCATGCAGATATTCAATTTGTAAGACGACTTCGAACTTCCCAAAGCAGGGAACTTTTACACCACATATCTGACATTCATTTCACATAACTTACTTGACTTGAGCCAACTTACCCCATACGTACAACGATTTTTCTGAACTATTTATACAAAGACATCAACGTTCCTTCGCGTCGCGAGATCTCTCAACTAAGCTGCCATTTATTCGCACCGTACTGCACTGTAGCATACTTACAGGAGTATACCGGACAGCGGTTTGGACCAGGCCCGAGTAAGCATAAAAAGTCGCTTGAGTGTCAAATCGAACGCAGTAGCACTGACGTGAGTAAGCACTGGGAGGTAATTGAAAACGTTGAACATATATTGTGTGCTACATATTTGCACGTACGCCGACCGTTTAGTTGGGCCAATCAATCTAAGTCGGGAAAGATTATCCGAGACTCGGCGTCTCAAGTATATCTAACGTTTTGCACAAACTCACAGTACTGGGACATTAATCGTGAGGCTGCATTTGGTCCAGTATTTTGCATGTTTCTATGTCACGCGTAACAATCCATTCATGCAACCGCGGTTTGCATGTTAATCGAACCTAAATAGTACATTGTAAATGGTACAGTGTCTTGTAGAGTCACAGTTTCACAATACGCTGTGGGCAAATGATGACCGTCTCTTGTTTTCAAAAGCGAAAAGCGAAGTTCACATTCTTCTTGCCTTCCCATTGACATTTAAATAAATCCCGCGGACGTGAACGCATTCAGGAGGGGCACTCCTTGTAAAAACGGAGCTGTTGAATTCGTTGAAGTCTTGGCTGACAGGCTGTCCCCCCGAAGAAAAACATAATTGCTCAGTGACAACAAAAGATTTGGAAACTTGTTTTTTGTCAAAACAGCTTTGCGGCCTTTTTGCCAAAGCCAATTCCCTTAATTGAATTCTGGACTACAAAATGGTTTATTCTTCGATTGAAAAAAAGTCACTCATGAGTGCCAAGTGGACATCACCCAAATGTGACGTTTAGCCTTCGGGGGGGGGACAAAAAACAGGCAGCAT